AATTGATTGAAAAGATTATTTATCAATGTCAGCCATTATATTCTTCATTCGCTCAAATTGCTTGTACTATATTTTATCAAATAAGCTCTTGTGTGAATTATATACTGGTTGTTGTGTAAATCAAATATGCTTCTATTAAGTTATGTTTATCCTCTGTCGGCGTCCTAGTCCTGTGTAAACACATAAATCGGACGTGTCCACACAGCCAGGGCCTAAACCCGCTACCATAACCGATATAACATATAGAATAAAGACATAGTGTCGTAATAACTTATATTAATGTCTTCATTTATTGCTTTTTAATATCATTGTCATCAGCATGTTCCTGCCCCTTAGAAGGACTTCTCTAGAAGTACGCCACTTGATCCTTTTTCGAGCACTGCCACTTAGTATATTTTCCTAGTATTAATCTTAAAGCTGCTAATTACATTAACATGGATACAATTTTCTTATAGTCATTTGGAAAGGTTCCTCCATATTCGTTAGACTGTACCATAACATATTGCCATTTTTAAAGAATTTTTTTAATGCTCACGCGATCTTTTTTTATTTTTACCACTTTGGATATTAAATTCCTAAAATTGTTGGTGTCATGTGTCAATAATTTGCATTTGCATGCAACAGATAATTATCGTACCTAAGTACTTTACTGCAGTGTTGTTAAACGTCATGCATTCTATAATTAGCTAAAAGTCATAACTATAAAAGTTGCGCCTCAGACGTCATTGATGATTTCTGCTTAAATTAGTAATACAACCACGTTTTTCACTGATGCATATGGAGCCGCGGAGGACTCGGTTCGAAGGGCAGGAGTAGGAATGGGGCGGTTTTTACTCAGTAAGAGTCTGACACCGGGTGAGGCGAGAGGGATCTCGCCTCACCCGGTCGAAAGAAGTCGTTGGATTTTCTTCACTCAAAAAAAACCACGTGTTCAGAATCAGAATCACCCTCAAGTTTTGCTGCTAAGTAAAAACTATGTAAATTCATATTCGTCTTCACGAGCAGATGTTGAGTTCAGAAAATCAAATAACATTTTTCTCCAACAGCCGTTTTATCTACACTCGGAGGATTTTGTTTCAATATGAAAAGTTAACTTTTATGAATTTATTTGAAAAGATCCATTTTGGTTAAAAAAAGATACTAGAACAGCGTAGATTACTACGAAATCCCTTTTATTAAGACATTTCTACAAAAGTGTGACATTTTATCTTTGAGAGATAAAAATAACAGACGAAAACGACTTGGTAATTCATTCCACGCCTTTTATCCCCTATTCTCGTTTCGGCAATTGCTATTTTTCTTCCCATATTAAATTCTGTTCGCAAATTGTGGCCAGCTTTTATACTGATTTGACTCGATAGACATTTTAGGATTTCAAAAAGAACTCACAAGTGCTTGCTCGCTTAGTAACAAACACCAATTTTTGGCAAATGTTTGTGAATTATTTTAATCTTTTAACCGACTTATTTGTTATGAGCTCCTGCCCTTTAACGATCGACGTAAATTCCTTTCTATCTAGCTCCGTTGTACACATTTATTTGTACAATGTCTTAATTTTCTTAAGTCACGAAGTGGCGATGAACAATCTGAATTTGGGGCACTTTGTAATCTTCAAGTGGAACTAAGAAATTTCTGGATCAACAATAAACGTAAATTGCCTCGTCTTCAGTTTAATTTTAGTAATATTCAATCCAATTTATTTAAGTAAATACCACTGAAAGGAATTTCCAAGTTTTGATGAACTACCTACCTACGCTTGCTTTGCCTTCAAGCTAACTCCTTAAGTTCTCAATCCATTGTCGAACTCCTAAACTGTTTGCAAGTCAAGAACTTCTAAATGGCAATCGAAGTACGGAGTGGCTTCGGATTCCATAGCCAAGGCTCTTGTCTATATTTAGCCTAGCTTAGTATCTAGGGCATCGACTGCCTAGCAGGTAGGTGTTGTATGTGGGATGTGGAAGTAATAGTTAGATTCCTTGCTGCTGTATTGGTCTGGAACCTTCATCTATATCGTACATTCTAAGTTTTGTAATTTAAATATTGTCTTAATGAATTGAATGTTATTTCTATGCTAAGACGGGATGATTTGAATATCGATTGTATTGCAAGATTTTAAAACGAGCTCAAATTTTATTTATAACTTATTATTTACAGATTTAGTAGAAAATCTGCGATGGAAATGAAACAGTAAATAAGAAGTATGTTCCGCTCACCCTATTTAACACGTACATTTAAATAAACGAGGGTGTTCACTATGATAGACGGCTTCCGATAGAGCAATGTCGTCGCCCTGGTTCTTGTTGATTGATGATACCGTTCAATGCATTAACACAGATCCATTGATATGTAGCAAAATATTTATACCATATAAATGTTTGTGATGTGATATCATTGTTTGATTATTTTCTATGCACCTATGTTGAGGCTCTAGTAATAAAACACGACTGCTCAGCTTGTTCCCAGGTCAAAGGTTACAAGATGGTGGAAGTATGGAGATTAGGGTTGCCTAGGGCTTAGACAAGTGCCAATCACTCCGATTCAGTTTAATTAATTTGAATATTAGGATCCCTGTGTGTTCATGACACATTCATTTGATCATATTACGTTTCGGAACTGATGCGTTGTCAATCCCATACATTCTAATTAGCGAAAGGAACTGTATACTGTATGTATCATGAATATCGATATCACATGTAAACTTACCCATTGTTGTCTCGAAATGGTTTATCACTTAATGCTACTAAAGTAACTTCACTGCAGAAATTATGTTGTTCTTTCACCCTAATAAGTAATGACCTTTACAATGACACGTTTCCGTTTGTTTAGTTGGTTAAAAAAATATATTTTATAACTTTGTCTATGTAATCTCTGATGATTTCATTCTCACTTCTTATTATGGTGAATTATTTATCTTAATGTAACTTTTAGCAGACGATTTATCTAACACATTTTAGGCTTAAAATGTTATTCTCCATTTTCTTGAATACCGACTTTAGATGCCGCAGTTTCGTAACGTTTGTGTTTTAATTTGGATTGTGAAAACAATATTCTGAATTTATCAACCGGGAGGGTGGTCCTTATCCTTCGTTTACTGAAACTGTAATATGATTTACAACCCCCTCTGTTTGAGAGATCTAAATTGGAATACTCGAGAATTTGAATCCATTGAAGCTATTTCTGTAAGGGTTATATATATTTATTTTTCATACCTAAACAGGATAAATGGAATATGGCAGATCGGAAACGTAAAGAAAAAGCAAAATTGAAAATATTGACCAAATGTATGTAGAATAGAATAAAGTAATATATTCAAAGTGCATTGCAAAAAATTGGCGTCGGATGTTTGTGTAAGTTATGTTATCAGTGTGCATACAACGATTCAACTTGTAGATACTACAGATAGAGCACTATACATCGCTCTGGCATTGAATGGACTTCCAATTTATCAGCTCCATACAGCGCTTTCAGAGCTGGATATTCCTCTATCTTATCCGATTCGCTGCCCACAATTCCACGCTGTACGTAGGTAATACTTGGTAATACTTAAAGCGCTTCCATGAAATCGTTGACGTAATCCTCACTCAAATTGATGATACGCCCACACCGAATCAGTTCCATTGATAAAGGACGTCAATACGTCTTCAAACTTACCATCAACTTACCTCATCTAACTTGGTCTCTTGATAAACAAGATTACCAAATAGATACATCGAGTTTTAGCAAATACTTTTTTCTTCTTTAAAGCTAACTTTGTGATTCGTTCCCCGTTTACGTCTCGTAAAAAATATTCTTTGATATTTTTGCGGTCATGTTTTTGCTTAACGTAATGTTTTTCGTCATAAAATGAAATGTGAGATGAAAAGTTTTGTGAAATTACTTGTGTGTTCTTTTTATGACCACGTTTTGATACGTAGTTATATGGTTAAAGAGAAAATGTAGCTGGATTCTTGCGATAAATAATATCTGAAGAGATCTGAGTGTGACTTGCAACGATAATCTGCGAAGTTTTAATGATACATTGTTCTTCAATCATATTTTTATTATCGTAGCTTGTATGCGAAGTTCTGAAGATCTAAATTATAGCCATTACTATACCATTAGCTCCATAATGATTTGTTAGATTTATCTTCATGCAAAATTAATCTTTGTACAAATCGCCAGACAGAAAATTACTTTTCCACAAAGGTAACTGTTATTTTATTGTTTCTAAAGGTCTCCGGGATTTGCTAGTTTTTAATAAAATTAATAAAAATATCTAAGATAATTGCTTTGTAACCTAGAAAGTAGAAACTATCCTCAAACTATCGTTGCTCTTCTGAAGTGCTTAACCGCGTTTGAACTTCCCCAACACTGGATTAGGTTGTTAAGGGAAGTACCAAGTAATTTTCTCATTCAAACAATAATTGAATATCAATTTTGACATAACGTCATTGTTCCATGAAGATATAGACCGATATAAATGAGTTTACAAAAATAGGTGATCAAAATTATTGTCACTAGTACCCATTATGGTCACTGTATCCGAATTATACTACTTACTGAGCACAATTCTAGGTATCATGGTTAAAAATGAGACACTAGAAAGGTGTAAAACTCCTAAAAGGTTTCAAGCAACATCTCAACAGTCCCACACACGTCTATTCGAAAGAGCCAATGTTATACCTTTATTAAAACTACGTTAGATATTTATTCAGAAAACTAATTGGGTTCGTATTTATTTTACGATCGCCGAATTTCTACTAAACTAATAAATAGCTCTCAGTTAACGCGTTTAGTTGTTTAACTAACCGACAAACCAGCTTATTTATAGATTACGATTTAGTTTAACAAGTTTTCATCGATTTTCGTTTCCTTTATATTGATCTATCTTCTGATGGTTTCTTTAGAATTTGCTATTACCTGCAATCTGGTTTTTTTTAACTTCTTAAATTACATAATCATTTTTATGATAATTTATTAAAATTCAAACAATTAATTGAATGTTTTCTCTTTTATTTCAGTTGTGCGGTTGAGGCGAGTTCAGCACAATGGGGAAGTTGTTGTCAAAAATCTTCGGTAACAAGGAGATGAGGATATTGATGCTGGGCCTCGATGCAGCCGGAAAGACTAGTATCCTTTATCAAAATTTGGAGTAACATGAAATTATTGTCAGTTGATACACAGGCTATTAAAGAGTCTGGAAATGTTATTGAAAGAAACGATCACTTACAGTCAGATTAAACTCGTAAAATGGCAAAATATGTCTTAGTTATTAATTTGTTTAATTTTGGATTTATTGAATTTATAACCGAATATAAATAAATAATCGACCGGTTGGAAGCGACCTGCATCTCATCGCTTCCTGCGACCTTAGTCAGATCGTCTGTCCACCTTGCGGATGGACGTCTTACGCTGCGCTTGCCGGTACCTGGCCTCCCCTCGAGAACCTTTCTGCCCCAGCGGCCGTCGGTTCTCCGCGCTATGTGCCCTGCATAATTGTTTATCCTTCTTTTAGGTAAAAAATATAAAATAGGTACTAGCAAAGAGTGACATCTATTATTTGAAATAAAATATTAAACAGTAAAGGTTCACACACATAGGTATACTCTCGCGTTTCCAATTTTATGACGTCATCGATATTTAACGCGATGAACGTGTCTCATAATAGTATTATAGAAGTGAGCATTACAGTAATGAGAATACAAGTAGCCTTTTTGCAGTTGCTTTTGTTGCTTGAAATAAGAATATAAGCAAGAAAAAAGTCAGAAATGCCATACACTCTAGTACTAAAATAGTTATATTGTAGGTAAGGCTCACTTAGTTATGTTACTTTCGACGTGGTATTAATTAATGCCATGTCCAAGACACGTTGAGGATTACGATGTTTATGTCTAATGTGTGTACTTCCACATTACAAGTTGCACTGCATTCTCGCACGGAGAAATTTTTTGTGTAATCCACAAATTGTCGTTTCGGGTCTGTGTGTCATGTGTATGTAAATTTGTATGTTTGTAAACTCACCCACGACACGGGAGACAATCCTAGAGTGGGGCAACGTTAAAAAAAAGTTAAAGTCAGGTTTTATGGAAATAAACCATTTTATTTTTATATCTCAGACAAAACGGAATTTCTCAATCCGTACAATACTCACGAATCCAATAATATTCAGATCAATACTCAATATAATAGAGCATAGAGCCACAAGCTGGAGTATGCATTTTTGTCATTTTCCTAGAGACTAGTCTGCTGGTACGTGTTTCTCAACACTATAATACTTAAACTAATCTATTGCTATGTTAACTACAAAAACATATTTCGTGTAAACATGATTGTTTTCTTGTTTTCTGCATACCAGACTTCTATGTTGCAGAAACACGAAATTAGGCTCTTTTGCACACGAAGTATTGTAATCGTGTCGATCATTGATAGTCGAGCGTGGCGTTACGCTTACAATACGACGTCGTATATGAATGAGTGAATACAGTAGTATAAGGCCAGGTATTAATGATGAAAGAACAATATTTCCTTAAAATAAACCTACAGCTATTTTATATAAATTAAAATTAGGTCAGTCAGTCACAACGATACCTACGGTCGGTTTTAATGTCGAAACTGTAACGTATAAGAACGTCAAATTCAACGTCTGGGACGTTGGAGGGCAGGACAAAATAAGACCTCTTTGGAGGCATTATTATACAGGTGTGTATTTTTTCTTTTATTTATTTATTCCTCTTAAGACTTTTTTCATACCTACGCAAAATTTTGTTGGCAAAGAATTTTAGAATAAAATTGAAAACGATTGAACAATTTCGACTTCTTTTTCGTGCGTTCTATGTTAAATTTTTTTTTATTTTGTTATACGCCTATGCCTTATGTTTACAAGTTTAAGGTGGGATTTTAAGTGAAAACTAGAAATTGATTATTGATCAGTCAAAAGGATTATAATATTAAGATAAAATGGCGAATTGGAAGATGGTTACAGTTAAATTCAGATTAATGGAAGACAAATTGTTTTCGGCCTAGACAGCAGCTTACGATGATAAATTACTTTAAATTTTATTTTAAGACCTAATGTTATTTCGATCTTCCTAATTTTACTTGTCTTTTCATAGTCTCTATATCAACAGTTCAATATCAAGAGTCAAGTCTCTATATCAAGAGTCCAAGAGATTCTGTTTGATTTCCTAGCCAGATTGCTTCTCTTAAAGTTAGGGTGAAAATCAATAGCCAAAATGTATCTAACATCTTAACAAAATGTTCCAGGCACTCAAGGTCTAATATTCGTGGTGGACTGCGCGGACAGGGACCGCATCGACGAGGCCCGTCAGGAACTGCACCGGATCATCAACGACAGAGAGATGCGTGACGCGATCATACTCATCTTCGCTAACAAACAGGACTTGCCTGACGGTATGAAATTTCACTTTGTTTTCTGGGTATTTACAATAAAGAAAGAAAGAAATAATCCTTACTATATCCTTACTTCCTTACTATTTTATAAATCGGAAAGTGAGTTTGTTTGTTTGTTTGTTCCGCTTTCACGCCGTAACTACTAAACCGATTGCTTTAAATTTTTGCAGAAGTAAAGTTAGAAGTCCGGATTAAATAATAAGTTACTTTTTATCCCGGAAAAATTGATATTCCCGAGGGAAAACAAAAGTATTGGTATAGATGGCGCTGTGTGTTTTGGTATATGTCACATAGGCTACTTTTTATCCTTTTGTGACGCGAGCGGAGCCGCGGGTAAAATATAGTTTCCAATAAAGAATAAGAGAAAGATAGAAATAATTTATTCATAAACCAGTTACAATTTTACAATTTGAGCTGTGAAAACCGTACTAGGCATAGCCTGTATCGCGGCTATCAAACAAGATAATAAGATCAAATATTATGTATTACTGTAATAATGGTTACCAGTTTAACCAAATTCTGGAGAACAAGCTCGTCTCTCAGCTTATACACGTGGCAAACGTCGATTACTCACATTGCCTACCCAATTTTAACGGCAAAAAATAGGGTATTCATATAGCGTCTGGTGGTGCATAAGCTTTTAAGTGGATTAGTGTGATTGTAGCACAAAAACATATTTTTTATAATAACTATCGTGAGACATACTAAATAACCTAAAGATCGCTGGTTACTCACGTGAATGTACTGAGAACAGTTCTACTAGGTTCGAACCACAGAGGGGTTCTTCCCCATGAGCAGCGTGCGCGGTCGCGGCGATGTCGCGCAGCCTACTCATCGACATCGCCACCACTGCGCACGCTGCTTATCTAATCTTTTATTAGAAAGCAAAAATAAAGAAAACTAGTATTGCGTGGGTAGCAGTTGCCGTAGTTTTGAAAACTTGTTTATCAGCGCAATTGGTATTGGTACGGAGTCTATCTATAGTCGTAGCAGAGTGAATGCTATGAATGTTTCTCACATTAGACACGAAAGGAAATGAAGGAATCTAGGTCATTTGTGACGAGAGATCTACTCGTCGTACTAATTGTATGGTCAAAGGTCGCATCTATGAGGAGCGAGTGACAGGTTGTAGGCCACAATTGACCCTCCTTTGACACGAATTTTGCAGTAGTCCAAATACAGCTGCAGGTGTACTTTTTATTCGTAGTCAGAATAATTTAATCAAAGGTACTGTTCCTGGTCGGGAGCATTCGCGTTTAATGTATATACCTACTACATCTGAAATAAGCTTTTTGAAATTAGAAAAATAAAATCAGTACGTAGGATAAATATTTCTAGTGCTGGTACGTTAAAGAAGGTTTCGTCTGCCTTCTGCTCATCTGCTTCATAAATCTCGCGGTTGTTTTCCAAAGTTCTTAGCAATTTCTTGCTCCATAACATATGTTCTTAAATCATGACTTATAAAATAATCAAAGCTGATTACGCCATAATACGCCAGGAGGCGTATCAAAAGATGCCGAAAGGTATTCTATACTTCGGTTGCATTTCAATTTTATTTAACATTTTGCCTTATAAAATTTCAGCAATGAAACCCCACGAGATACAAGAGAAGTTGGGGTTGACGCGCATCAGAGACCGCAACTGGTACGTGCAGCCGTCGTGCGCGACGTCCGGCGACGGACTGTACGAGGGGCTCACCTGGCTCACTAGCAACCACAAGTTATGAGCTGCAGAGTAGGCGGCTCTGTGCCGCCGCGCCCGCCACGGTACGTTGCTACACAATATTTATCATAGTAATGTAGCTTTGGTTAAGTTACCCACCCTAATCTCCCCAATTCCCGAATCCCTAATCCTCAAGTTCTTAACCCCTCAAAAGGCAACGCACTTGTTTCGGGCGGCCGTGGGCGGTGCCGCGCCGATTGCTTACCACCAGGAAGCAAGAAAGAGAAATAAAAACAGTTTAATTGCAAAGTTACAGAAAATATACAAAAAAAAAACAAGAAAAATAGTTAATTAAACAGAACAATGTACACTGTGCAAAAAGGCCAGTGCTTAGCTAAAATTCCGTAATCCGAGCGCGATTGCTCGGGTCGCCTGATCAGGTGATCCGTCTGCGTGTTTCCCGGTTTGTCCCTTGCACTTTGCCTATCCCTTCACATCTCGGCCTTATAAATATAAATTAATACATGTTGTCTTGATATTCCAATAAATGAAATGGACACAGTTATTAATTTTGATTGTTTTTCTCTGTTTCCAGGTGAGGATGTCGATGCCATTTAATTTAAGTAAGCGCCCGTGTGCCGGAACAAGCAACGTCATTGTGAATACCAGTGTTGATTCTTTATAATGGTTATACAGACAAAACGCTCCAGTGCGCAGTGTACGGTGCGAGAGACTGTCCGTGTGAACACAACCTTAGATAGCAAGCAAGCGAACGCTTGTCACAAAATCAAATATTCCATATTTAAAAAATAATAAAAAAAAACAAATTTAGAAAGTTTTGTTGTAACGATATTCGATTATTTTTTTATGTTATTTAAAGAATTATTACATAAAGTAAAATGATTTTTTTTTTATTTAGTTAATGTTTACCTCCTTTGTATAATAAGGTAGAATAAAAGTTTCTAATGCATTATTGTGGGTAATCGAGGACTATGTATGGATGGTCGCAATATTGTTTATTATGGATATTTAAGTGATAGTTATGCACGCTGCGTAGGTCATTCGTATAGCGTGGCTTGACTGTTGTTAGTTAAATTTCATACAGATCAAAGGGTAAGCAAATCAATCAAATCAATACATATTAACAAACATAAATTACCCTTCATTATTTATAAGGACATTTAAAATTGACATGTTATACATCACTATTTAATTTATATTAAAATATTTATATTTAAATTACTATAACACTATTCGCTTCACTTGAATTAGTTTTCGCACTAATTGAAATGTGAACTTGGATTGACTAACAAATGTGCACTCGAATTTGAATCTTATAACCATGTAACAATAGTCAAGCTACCCTGATACAATAATGTACATAATATTGAAGCAATGTATGTACATATTGAAGAATATTTTTATTACTGTCGCTGTTTTGAATGTTGATTTTTGTATGCGAAACGTTTTAGACAAAATCTTCTTATGTATGTATGAACTATGAATATTGCTTTCTGCTTTCTATGTGATTCTTTGGACGGTGTTGGCGCTTTACTAAGATTGAGCTGATTGTGTGTAAAATACGCCTGTTCTTCATACGTCTTGTGTTTGTCGCGAGGAAATAATCTTATAAACGTGGTCTGGTCTTCTTGATTTACTAATTCTGTAATGGCACGTGATTACATCTATTAAAATCGTACTCAAATCGGTTCATTCGTTCAGGAGCTACGGTGCCACAGACTATATATAGACAGGATAAACTATAACACCTTTGTTGTGGGTAAAATAGTCTCAAATACTGACTGATTTAATGGAAAAAGTAATCGTAATTCCTTAATATACTACTTAAAAGTCAGTCAATACAGCCTGTCTTAGTAAAGCGCATTAAAACTGTACCAGTAGTCGAGTCAGTACGGGGACCACCTGATTTTGTAAATACGGCTCATGAATGGACCTTGAAATGAGATTTTTCTAGCGAATTATTTAAATTTTATAGCTTTGTTTTGTGAGGGCTTTTGCCAAAGGGTGATTTGCTTATACAAGGCTGATTTTTAGATGCTAACTGTATGCCCAGGCTTGATTGTTTATGAGTAGGAATCAATTATTATAACGGAGTATTATACACATTCATGAGACATTAAAATAATTATTATGATTTTCGGTTTGAGTAACTATTTGACGAGTTAACCCGACTAGGTTTCAAGACACACTAGGGGCTCAACTGTCCCTCATCCACAGACGACGTCAGTTGGGTGCGTCGCCCGTTATGAGACCCGAGCGCGGCTTGAAACAAGTCAAGTTACCTCGGTACACAGTGACATGAAAAAGTAGATAACATATATTAATGTCAATGGAATTCTCACGATACGTTGATTTTTTGTAACAATACGAATTTTACTCTCATTTTATTAATTCACTGTCCGGCCCTAGTATCAGTTTGTTTTACGGTAAAAGTAATCGAAATTGACTGATTGGTTGGTTCATTGGAGCCGGCCAATCAGAGCGCCGAACGCTCACTCGTTTCAATTACTTTTAACGTAAAAACAATGGTACTAACCCCTCTGTACATTTTTCGAGGCATTTAATAAGCTTCGCTATGCGACGATGGAAACGACATGAGGAGTATAGCAATAAATAGATTTTCCATACGATTTAGATATTACGTAAATGTATCAAATTATAATATTCAACGAAATTAGGAACTCAATGAGAGTTAGAACATCGATGTCGTTGATTGTTTAAGTAATAGTTATTGCTAGTTCGGCTGGTTCCACCTTTGACCACGGTTAACTTGGCTTGACGGGATTTTGAAGAGAATAGGGTAGATGACTAATTTTTATTTTAATGTTCGTCTGACAGATTAATTTAAAACATTGGACACGTATTTATTATTTACGGAAACAAATACTTTGAACGACATATTGATTTGAAATATCACATGACGTCACTTCTATGTACGTTTTATACTTAGAAATGACGTGACTAGCTTCGTTCTAAATATAAATTCGTTTTATCTAAGTATTGTTTTGTTATACGACGAAATAAAAAAATACGTGTCTAATATTTTTTCCTTATCTAACTGACGGACTAAAAAGATTTTTAATTTTCTTGTTCCGTCATCATCCCTATTTGTTATTGTCTGGTCAAGTTAACGATGGGGGAGCCAGCCTGTAATCGTCCTTGTTGGTAGCGTTGGCGCGGGGATTAGTTATAGATTGTAGAACATCACAAAAACGTGTCTAAGTTTTTTATGATTAAGAAATTCTGTGCGTTTTATCCCCGCCCTTTCACGGGTTATAAGGACTCCTAGATTCACAGCAGACGTTAGAAAGTAGATAGAATTTGAATGAAAATGTACGTGAGACAATAATTACTAATACAAAACGTCTTACGCCTCAACATTTTGATCTAGAACGTTCTTTCAATAATAGGAACACGTGTTTAATCAAAATTAGCTCTTATTTCCAGGTCCATAGCCTAAATTTTCGGTAATCTTTACTATTTGTTTGTACTGATTTCTTGCCTACATCTAGAATTGTGTAATTGCGAGTAACTACGAGAGCTATGTTAACTTTTTTCTGTTAAAACTCACCTATACTTTGTGATATAAATATATTTCATAGAACATTTAATGTATGATTATTTTCTAGAATGTTTGAATTGATCGATGGTAATACTCGTAGACATGACAATATACAATAGGTCATGCTCTTACAAATTTAGAACTGATTTAACTTTGATAATCAATTTTATTTTCAACTTAAAGTGCAATTAAAATTTCTAGCAACTATTTTGCACGGTGATGTAAAAATATTTATAATTTAAATGGTGATGTACCGTCGGGTTTAGCGCGCAAGCGTTGCTAATTAAAAACCTATTGTATAATATTGTAGAAAGATAAATTCAATATAAATTCACCCTTGAAACACATAGTTTTATTCCTGTGAACTCGAGTACCAATAATAGTCGTACAAAAATATCGTAACTGTATTTTATTTCAGACTTAATGGGAATAGATAGTAAATCAAACTTTCTTAACAAAGTCACTGATCATCCAGTCCATGTACATGGCTAGTCTAGCAATTTTTTTTCTTGATATGCTTACCAGCCTTAGCATATTCCGACGAGCTTTCAAACCAATACTGAGTATCACATTGAACTTCATTAAAAATTCGATCTTTTCTAATCTGTACCTTAACACATTGTGGTGTGGTGTATTTTGGTCTAGCTGCAGTTTTGTTCCATGGAACTATTTGTAATGGAAGAGTCGGCTGTGACGTCATCATAGCGTGGAGGGAGAATGATTTGTAGTTCCTCGTTGAGTTGGACTTCTTCGTCGGGAACTGGGTCATCGGGGACTCGTGTGTCGAAGTCTTCGTGAGTTGAAACACCACTAGAATGGAATAATCACATCATTATAATAAAGGCCTTCATTGTGATAAAGGTAAGGTAAATAATGATAATTATAAGGCGATAGTAGTAAGTACTTTATAAATAGTAACAGACCGAATCCCCGAATTAGACCAATGAATATAAATTTACCATGGTGATAAGCATATAGTCCAGACTTTGTTTAGTACTATGTTATAAGATATATTTTGTCTTGCAAGTGTGAGTTTCCGATACCAATTAGACTTCCATTATATATGGAGAGCTCTCCTCAGAAAAGATGATGGCATAATGAAACAGGTATAAAATTTTACTCACTCCAACTGATCACCCACTTTGGCACCGGCGAGGACGGAGGTGTAGAGCCTCGCCCGTGCGCCATGCAGCCTCATGCCGGCAGGCACGTCCTCGGCGCCCGACCGTGTCTCCAGGATCGGAAGTAATGCGTTGGCACCGTTACCTATGTAGGAAGAAGATAACGGTTATTCAGTTACAAGATATTCAAAGTCAAAATCATTTATTTCAATTCGACCAGAGAGGCACTTTTGAAAGTCAACAATAAAATTAAAAGTGAAGCTATTTGCTCATTCCAAGGTAGATGTAGATTCCTATGGAGAAGAACGAGCAAGAAACTCCATAGGTTACTCTTTTTCAATCAAGTTCACAATACAATTCTCTAGTTACATTGTTTTGTTGTTTGGGTTGTGCGAGAACAATGTAACACTAAAATACAGTCAAACAGATCGAAAAAAAAAAACCTTAAACTGTCAAACACCAAGCGGTCACCGGTGACCGCAACCTATTGTTCTATAATTGTGTCTACAAAACCGGTACTCGACGAGTTAAAGGACAGTAAAAAAAATATACAGCTTTATTACTAAAGCTTAAGATTAAAAATAGAAATTTAGGACTTCGCGACAATAACAATTATTATATGTTCGGTAAACTATCAGTTGAGGAAGCTCGTAAATTCAGTAGTACAGTCCTATGGTTAGTAGATAGATATACACACCTTCATCAGGTCTGGTAATTTGGTCAGTTTCTATTACTTGACCATTCTCATCGGGTGGCAGTTTGTTCTTGGGTTTCTCATCACGAACGTCTGAAATGGATCCCTTTCTAAAATCTGTTAGACAAACAATTTGAACGTTAAAAATATATATAAGTATGTAAGATTTTTAGATTACTGAGATTCACAAACATTATGCCTGTGTTTCTTGAAAGGGTTAGATTTAATTGCAATGAAATAAAATTTATATAATATTGGACTGTCGCGGAGAACCTAACGTGTAACCGGGGCTCTGGCTCGACGTGCAGGAGAAGGAACGGGTTGGTTTTTAGTAAGAGTCTGACACTCCCTCCCGCCTCACCCAGACGGGAACTTTAAAAAAATACAATATTGGACTGTCTCTTTGATTTCTTGACGTCAGTTATGTTATTTTATTATACCTACGCCCGAATACTGAACGATAACTTAATTTTAAGTTGTAGGTACTTAAATATCGTGCCATCTCTGTCATTTCACAAAGAATTCGTAGTGACAGAACTACTATATTTAAGCGCAACTGAAATCTGAGTGACGTTTGAGGATTTCAGCGCTACTCGTTCTAATGAAGATTAAGCGTACCTACAGCTTATTACAGGTAGCGATGATTAACCTGGTAAACATCTTCTAAACAGTAGTCTACCTAGGTAGATAGTCTTAGAAAGATCTGTGAAAACAACTCACCACTTTTATTATTCCCTCGTGTGGGTAAGTCTGCGTATCCACGAAATAGTGTTTCCAGTTCGTCAGGGGACATGCGACGCAGGTACGGAACACGCTTCAAGTCGGGCCGGTGAAGGCTTCGGAAGGAATTTCGATGCTGGTCGTAAAGTATAATAAAACCGATTTAATCAGATATATAGGCATTAGGCATGTGCTTATTTATATTGTGGCCAATACAGGTAAAGTATAAAGTAAATCTGTACCTACACACTTCTACCTATACTTAGAAATACAAAACATAGGTTCTTAAGCATTATCAGGTCTGAGTTTGTTTCAGCATTTCTTCTCAGAGTACTTAGTTAGGAAATGTCGGCCTCATTGTTTACGTAATAATATAAATAATGTAAAAGATCACTTTTACACGTCAGTTTTGCAGAAATAAATGCACAAGTGAAACAACACTTGTGGTAGAAGCTGAAACAGGTTAAAAAAGAATACCTAGACCATAAATAAAACAAACTTAGAATGTCAGCCATTCTGCCAAACCAATGGCTTTTTTTTTAAGGGGGGAAAATCATCGAATGACTGCTCCCGCCTGGGTCATGGCTAGATTGCTGTCAGTAGGCTGTAGGTAATTTATTATTACTTGTTTTCGTTATGGGTATTTTACCTTTACGAGACCCGGTGGTATTTGCATCCGTTCACATGCGCGTGACATGCTCAAACATTGTATCACGCTGTCGTGTTTCACGGAAATTGCTGACAGTCCACTTCTCACCAGGTCTTCGTTTATCTGTGCGAAAAAGTATTTTAATGATTTCGTAGAAACTAGATACTATGTGATTTCATCTTGAATATCATTAATGAATTAATATTTTAAATTAATACTTTACACCAGTTTCGTACAAGTTCCCTTGGTGTTCTTTTAATTCTTATATTCCGACACAAAAGGAGCTGAAGAAAAATTAAGTAACCTACCCAAGAAACTGCGCGTTGCACACTACATTTTCTCAAACAAGCTCTCAACAATTCAATTCTCAACGTTATTAAAACGAATTTGAAATTCGAATGTGACCAGCGTTTACGCATTTTTTATCTTTGTAGAAAATCTAGCCAATAGCAATGACTGCCTCGTTGGCCGAGTGGTCGCAAGTGCGACTGCCGGGCAAGGGGTCTCGGGTTCGAATCCTGGGTCGGGCTAAGTATTACTGGGTTTTTTTAAAATTCTCAGTCATAGCACGGAGTCTGAAAATATGCCCGATATATGGCAATAGGCTCACCCCCTATTACATGGGACTCATAACATAAATAGTGAAAAGTGGGTGTTACATTGTACAGTGGCATAATGTGCACCTCTGCCTACCCCTTCGGGGATAAAAGGCGTTATGATATCTGATGTTATGTAGCAATGCATTATGACGACTACCATGTTTTCATAAAGTTTCTTCATCAGTTGTCAAAATGCAGCGAGACAGAACTTAGAGCGGAAATCGTGATTTGCGTATTTTAATAATGCGTGACGCGTGGTCTAGGCTTAAAACATTTTGGAAAAGAAGGCAGAAGTGTAAGATGTGTGTAGAAAATATTACACCTTTTATCTGTTGAAACACCGGCTCCCGGGTGTCCCTTCGTCCAGCATACTCACCATGGAATCCTGATATTTCATGATGAAATACCATAATTATTTCCAATAACATGAAGTCTACAATTAGAAAGTTTAATATTTTTGTCCAAAAACATGTGTCGACGACTGTACCCCATTTTACGTTAGTATGTAGAAGTTTACAATCAAATTTAATGGTTTTCTAGGTCAAAAGTCAAGCAAAAATTGGACTGATATTGGGCACTATTTCAAGCACAATTTTTTGAGACGTAAATTGTACCTATAGCTCGTTCGATATTCGCGCACTGAGGTGAGTATGCTGGGCGTAGAACCTACGCCCAGCATACTCACTGAACGAAGCCTATAACTCCGAAGTTATTCGAGCACTGTTTTTTCTTTTTGGGCACCGTTTGGCACTATTTGGGAACTATTTTTTGAAGTATGAATTATGTTTGAAGCGTATACAGATTCTCCGGACGGAGGTGAGTATGCTGGGCGAAACCTTCGTCCAGCATACTCATCGAACTATGGCTATAACTTCGCAAGTACAAGAGCACTATTTTTTTCCTTTGGGCACTACCATGGGCGTAGCCAGCTTTGGGCTCAGGGTGGGGCAGCAGCCAACCTATCCCCCGGGGGAGCCGATTCGGAGTCGCGGAGACCCTAACGGGTAACCGGGGCTCCGGCTCGACGTACAGGAGAAGGAACGGGGTGGTTTTTAGTCAGTAAGAGTCTGACACTCCCTCCCGTCTCACACAGGCGGGAGCAGTCATTCGATGATTTTCCCCCCTTAAAAAAAAATCGCCCGGGGGAGGGCGATGGCCCTCCGATTTTTTGTACCTTGAGCCGTTAATCTCAAACTTGTTAATCTCTTAAATTTGGCTAAAGACTGTCTCAGTAGGATCTCGCGATGGGGAACGAACGAAATCGCTTGACTTTTACACCCCATAAAACTTACCAGCTATTGCTTAAAGGAAATCTAAAGTCGTGGCCGTCTATTAAACTGTCAAATACCAAGCGGTCACCGGTGATCGCAACCTATTGTTCTATAATTGTGTCTACAAAACCGGTACTCGACGAGTTAAATTTAATAATATAACAATATTTCCGTAAAACGAAAGAAGTCGGTTTGCTATCTCGGTCTAGTTTTGGAATACAACTATTCTTTCATTGAACATATGAAGGCTATTAGTGAGAAAGCCAAAAAGAAAAAATTCGCTCACGCGATTTTCAAAAGCCACCAGCCTCTTTTCTTACGCTTAGGATCATATACGGAGCAACCTACCTGGGATGCGTGAGCTACGGGGCATCTGTCTGGGCTGATAGGGCCACAATAGGCGCGGTACGGCGAAAACTTCTTCAAGGCCAGCGTCTAGTCTTGATTTTCCTGTGTAAGGCTTATAGGACGGTTAGCACTGAAGCCCTACCTGTGCTCGCGGGTGTACTTCCGGTAGATCTTGAGGTGCAGCGACGTGCTGCTATGTACTACGGTGCGAGACCTAATTTGTCAGTAAGCTTTCTAGCACAACGTGATCGAAATAAAATTGCTATATTGTTTAAGCCAATAACGGACGTTTGGAATGAGCTTATAACTGAATGGCAGTGTAGATGGGAATCTTCTATTAAGGGCCGCCACCTATATCAGTTCTTCCCATCCGTGCATGAGCGGCTTGAAAGGACATGGCCAAGGTGGATCACTGTGTTGCCCAATTTCTTCCTGGCCACGGCAACTTTAAAAGCAAATTGTTCTCATTTAAACTTATTGATTCACCATGGTGCCAATGTTCGACAGTGGAGTTGCGATACGAGCAGTCGGCCCATCACATAATCTGGGAGTGTGATCTCTGGCAATATGCACGTAACACTATGTTAAATAATTTAATTGTTTCGTCAGGTGTAGCTTATTATACGGACTTTGTGGAATTTAGAACAAATTTCCGTGCGTTTAGGCACTTTTGCCATACCTATTATTGGAAGCAAGTATAACAGCTCACACATAGGACCCACTTAGTTATTAGTCAAATTTCCGTGGTGCTTGGCGACTGGGCTTCACCTAGTTGTACAGTCTCTTCTTTGTGCCTTTAGGCTTAATTCATTCTGTCTCCTGCAGTAATTCACCGAGGGAAGTGGAAACTATAGTTTTTTTCTTCTTCTCCTCTTATAAGATATGCTCAGAAGATATTCTTATGATTCACTTTGTTGCCGGAACCAAGACAGTTACTGATGTCCTTGGGACGCGCCGGACTTCAGTGTTCCGGTGTTTTCATGGTTGTATCTACTGTAGATCCTGGTGCACTGCAGTTGCAGCAGTTTTGGAAGGTTATGGCGGGCTTGTCCCATTAAAAAAAATCTCTTAATTTGAGAGGTTTATATTTTCAGGTACAGAAAATAAACAATCACACATAGGACAGATTTCATAGTTTTATTTATGAATACTGGGTGTTTATAAATTAAAGTTTTAATTATGTATATTATGTATGAGTAATATTACTTCAAAAGAAGACGGCGTTTGTTCTGGCAGAACCTGTTAAGCACTTCTACTAAAAATGTATTTTTCGATTCTGAGACCCTTGTTCTGTGCACACTTAGCATGTACACAGGCCGCTCAAACGATTTTCGCCGCTCATGGTTAAGCGAAGCCACATTTTGACTCGCCGTTATGTGCTAAACGATCGTTCTATTGTACAGGTCGTACATGGCTGGGCAAGCAAAATAGCGAACACTAGGATAAAATTGCATTTTCGAAATTTTGATCACATCTACCAGTTCCATCTCCTTCAATGCATTAATGTCCGTATTATTTTCTTCTCACAAATTATACCACATCTCAGCCTCGCTTGGGAAAGTATCACTTAATTTATAAAAATTAAAATTAAGATTAACTAGAAAATTTAAATTAAATAAAACAAGCAAACAATACAAATCGCGCCACGAGCCATAGAAGATTTCTAGTCTGCGCTTCGCGGGGCGCGGGAATGAGTGACCGCGCGGTGATGGACGGCTCGGCTCACTACGCCACATAGTGCCTTTTCTTTTAGGGAATACGGCTCTCTTTCAAATGACGCGCGCACCGCGCACTTTTGGGAACTCGAGCGTGCATTTAGTTTTGATCGCGCTCTCTTCAAAGTCGACAATTTTTTTGTGCAATTACTTACGGATAGTATGATTGTTGATGTTGTTAATTAGAGTTAGTAAAAAAATCATTGTTTAATCAGACACCTTATGGGTCAGAGCCAGGGCCCAGGGTGGGGCAAGTGCCCCAGCTTGCCCCAGTGTGGCTACGCCCATGCCTATACCCGTAACTTACAATATACAAGAGGATAAAACAGATACTTAATAAGCGAGTTGACGCATAAGTGTTAGAAGTGGAAGCTACGACAAAATAAAATTAGGTCGACTATCATAATTTGTTACCAACAGTAGAAACATTGTACCTATTTAGTAGGTTAACTTTGAAATTGAAACAAATTCAATACGATAATTTCTTCATTCGTCTGTCAGTTCGTAACGCCGTTTGATAGATTTAATCAATGTTTCTGCTGAATAAACTATGTCGCGAGTGGACCACGAGGCGAGTATATTGGAGCACATCAATCAGAAAGACAGGACCGTTCTCATTTGATGCGGTGACCAGACTCTAATATTGTGTTATTGATTGCCCGACACGATGGTAAAGCCGAATGGCCAAATGAAAGTGCTAAATGGAATGTATGGTACATACGTACACACATACATGGTGCCTTGGTATTTTTTTTTTAAACAAAGTCCATGGTTGGTATTGCGCTGTTACCGGTACCTACCTATTCTTTAAGCTATTATTTTATAAGGACTGCCTCGTTGGCCGAGTGGTCGCAAGTGCGACTGCCGAGCAAGGGGTCTCGGGTTCGATTCCCGGGTCGAGCAAATTTTAACTGAGCTTTTAAAACAATCTCAGTTATAGTCTAAATAACGTAACGTAACCTGCAGATAAAGTAGGGATCTTATTATGTAGGTGCCTGTACCTACCACAGATTGTTTTGTGGGATTAAGGAGAACCTTCTCGATGCTCAAATATTTGAATTTGTTTCATGACAGACTTCTCTTGCTTACATTGTTATCGTCGCAGTAGGCAAGTAGGTATACGAGACCGTAGTGGTCTTGCATAATTGTTGCGAAATAATATCTAAAATAACAACATCTAGCTAACGTTTTAGCCAATGATATGTCATCTAAGATTTCCGCTTATCACATGTTTGATTTTCTATGACTGTAATTTGAATGGTTCTACAAATCGCAAAAATCGCAGGAAATTGTCGGCGTCATTATCCTAAACTCAAAGTTAACAATTCTGCTGATTGAAACTCAAAATTTAGTTTCAAGAAAGAGACGTGTCACTGCTCCCAAGCAACCGAATAAAAATACCAATAGTAATAAGTTATCGCGATGCTAAACAATGTGGGAGTATAATGATTTGTTAAGTAAAAGTTAAAGATTCTCGAAGAAACACCCAATGACTAACTTAACTATATAGCTGAAATAAATAATCTATTTCTTAGAACCTAAGTCCTATTACAACATTAAGTGTAAACACAAGAAATCCGTGAAGTGTCATCAGTGTTATTAAAGGCTGGTCTCAGAGGGAATACTATAAAATTGCTTTCATAGTCCCCGACAGCAATTTGAAAGATGGCCGCGTTGAATACTGTTCCAGAACTATTAATGTTTTCAACTTGAATGGCTTTAAACGTTCTGCAGCATAAATGAAAGATTTGCGTCAACTCAGTCATGTATCTAATTGGCCGTTTTAAAAGTTCTGTTTTCAAGTTTCTTTGATTTATCTAGTTATGTTTCTGCCTTGTATGCTTTAGCAGCAATTTAATTACTATAAAACATTTCACGTCATATTTATTAACAACTTGAAAGCTATTTAGAGGAACTTGATTATATATAGCATTAGTGAGAGAAGGACTAATTAGAACTAAACAAAGCAATTGCCCGCCATTATCATCGTATCATGACGTGTACTTCTGCTGGTCAAAACTCTTCTTATATGAAGAAGTACCTAATGAGTATTACGTAATCACCCCCGCTTGATTTTATAGTATGATAAATTTTGCATCTTAGAGGTACTAGGTTAACGTAAATTATTGAAAACATCCTACAAATCCACGATGACACTACAAAATAAGATCACAATCACCTGCAGTTCTCTTCCTTCGCAGCACGGCACGAGCGGTGGCAGTTCTTCTTTTAGTTTGTGAGCCGAGTTGAGCCCGGTAGCAACATTGTCACCGCTTGCTACCGGGTTCATCAGGAGCAATGATGCATCCGATGACCTCTTCTCTTTCACCTCCATGGTCTCCAATTGTTCTTTCACGCTCACGTTGGTGCTCATGCTCCTATCCTTCACGCCCATCAAAAGAGTTTTGTTTTCGTGTAGTAGCTGCATCACTGCTATTTTTTGTCTTGTTGTGGTATATATTTTTTATGTTCACATTTTTATTCCAATTTTGACTTTGTGTGACGTTTTCGATTTTGAAATGTTGTTCGTTTTTTTTATGTTGTCTTTAGTTTAGTTTTGGTGTGAGACCTTTTTGGTTAGAAAGCTCGTTCTGTAAGTAGGTTTTGTGTGGGTTAGCACGGGTCACGATAAGCATTTTTATGACAGTGCTAACGCCATTCTAATTATGCATAATGCCAACTCTCTGATATTCTATAAACACAAGCCTACAATATTAACAAAGCAGTGTTTTGTTCTTTGTAATAGAAAAGAAGTGGTTTGCAATGTTTTACATTCAGGGCGCAGATTGTTCTTTCGTACAATCTACATCTGAAAGCAGCTCGTCAGGGCAACAAGCTTGAGATAAGTACATTGTATCGTACTCAGATCACGTAGCAACGCTTGACCAAAATTACACCCTCCAACAATAAGCTGGGTCGAAACTTCGAGAGTAGGTACCTAGTACATCGAAATTAAGTAAGTCACTGCCTCTTTTTGGAACATTCACTGGTATATTGTTGTAGCTTTGCAGCTAAAATTGGTATAATGGTTTCGTGAACAACAGTATTGTTTAGCAAATCTGATGGAATGATTATCTTTACTTAGTCCATGGACGTAGACATAGGTACAATCTTGAAGGAATAGGTTACGTTATTTTATACAAAACTAGCTTCTACCCGCGACTTCGTACGCGATATCCCGTTTTCTCCCGTTCCCATAAGATTTTTAGGATTTTTCTATCATAAGAACCTTCTCCTGAATATAAAAAACACAACAAAAAAAATCAGCTAAATCGTTCCAGCCATTCTCAAGTTATGGCGTGACAACGGGCCTAAACTAACCTAACCTAATATGTATAGATATAGATAGGTACTTAGTTTTTACTTTGATTTACTCCGATACCTAGTTCCAGTATGAACGATGAACGAATATCGTATTTCGTAATGTTGCGTTGTGATGATGAAGCACTAGCTTACCGCCTGCTCCAGCTTCGCCTGCGTGGTATTTTCATTGCCCTGCGAGTGTACCTATAAGTAGCAAGGATATTGGGACAAAAAGTTGCCTTTTTTTTTTTATTTTTTTTTTTTAAGGGGGGAAAATCATCGAATGACTGCTCCCGCCTGGGTGAGGCGGGAGGGAGTGTCAGACTCTTACTGACTAAAAACCACCCCGTTCCTTCTCCTGCACGTCGAGCCGGAGCCCCGGTTACCCGTTAGGTTCTCCGCGACTCCGAATCGGCATCGGCCCTATTGGGCCCCATCTGTGGTGGTCTGATGGCTCTTTGAGGCGCGCGCGGAACGCGACGCGCCGTACGCTCGGGTCTGTTTCTGGTCGGACGGGGAGCCACCCATGCTCGCCGTCCGCAGGCCCGCGCTTACGGTGGCCGGAGATCGTCCCGCGATCCCCGACGCCCGGTGTGTCCTTCGCGATGGCTGGGTTGCGAGGAGGCAGCGCTTCGCTGCCTCACGCGTCCCGCCTCCTCCTTAGCTAGCATGACTGCTTCGCAAAAGGAGGAGACGGCATCCCAATCCCCCTCGCTCCGCATCATGGCCTGCACTAGGCCCGGACGCGAGAGGTCGCCATCGCCGATCACTTCCCTGAGGACACGGCGGTGCTCAGCCCACGAAGGGCATTCTCCCACCGTGTGTTCCACCGTGTCCTCAGGGCGGTCCTCGCAGTGATGACACCCGGACGTTTCCTCCCGCCCCATCAGACACAGGTACCTCCCGAAACTTCCATGTCCGGTGAGGACCTGCGTCAGGCGGTAGGTGAGGACGCCGTAGCGTCTCTCAAGCCACTCCTCAAAGAGGGGACTTACCGCTGCGATTTGTTGTTGGAAAGTTGCCTAAGTAATGTCGAAATACTAAAACGCTTCACAATTTTAGGTCGCGATTAAATATAGTTGTCACTATAAATTCTTTGTAAAATGACAAGGTGCCACGATATTGGAGTATAACAAAATTGAGTACGTAGCCTTTCTTTATTCGGGTGTTAAGTCACTTTTTGGAAACTAAGATTCTCGATAGCGTAATATTTTTTCCTTCAAGAAAAGAGCGTACCTACTCCTTTTTAAAAGACCGGCTACGTACCTGTGACTCCTCTGGTGTTGCGGGTGTCTATGGGCGGCGCTGATCGCTTACCATCAGGCAAAGAGTATAATAAGTATAGGGGATCCATCAGGTGATCCGTCTGCTCGTTTGCCTCGGTTTATGAGATTCGGAGCTTCTTTAATGCAAACAAACAACTTTACAGTCGTAGTCGTAGAAAACAGTAAGTCAACAATTGGATCTTTCTAATTTGTATAGATAAAATCATGAAGGAACTGACTAGGTACTGAAGTAAAACAAGAAAATTGTAATTAATATTTATTTAATACAAAAAAGTCTTTCAATAACAAAATAAATTCATAAAATATTCAATACAAAATAACAATTTTCCATAATTATTTAAACACCATAAACAAGTCTTAGAAAAAATAAAGAAAATTAGAAAAGTATAAATGACAATGAACAAACCCAAATTTACCACACTATGTACAAAAATAAAGTTATTTTATCATATTTAACTTTTTTGTGCACCAAAAAGTCCATTAAAAATAATGTACATAGTACACCAGCAATTCTAACAAGTCACCACGACGGTAAAAAATATATTTTTTTACATTTTATACAAAATAAATATAAAAATATATTTTTTAAATATATATTAACACCAAGACGATTAAATCCTTCTAGTCGCTGGTTTTCACGACTTGCTTGTATCGTCCTTGATTTCATCTGGCACGTAAAAATCATGCGTTTCAGCTGACAATTCGTTAAGCTGCTGAAAATTAAAAGTGTTAAGAAGATAGAATAATAAGAAGTTTTCATAACTACACTTGTAGTAGGGGAACCCACGATGCTAAATTTGGATTTACTTGGGCGTCGTTGGGACCTACTGGATTTTGAAGATATGCTGATAGAAATAAGAAATGGTTTAGTGACAATTTCTTCTAACCGGTGGGGGAAGGGGGAATCTACAGATCTTTGTTAAGCGTAACATTTGTTCTAGTGGTCGAGCGTGTCAGATATAGATAGTGTAGATACATGCTCCATGTGTATTTAATAATAAAACGCTCTTAATCTGCCAGTTTGTCGCGGAGAACCTAACGGGTAACCGGGGCTCCGGCTCGACGTGCAGGAGAAGGAACGGGGTGGTTTTTAGTCAGTAAGAGTCTGACACTCCCTCCCGCCTCACCCAGGCGGGAGCAGTCATTGGATGATTTTCCCCCCTTAAAAAAAAAAAAAAATCTGCCAGTTTGCATGGTGGGGTTGAATGTTCTGGAGAGTACAAATGAGAACCCTTCAGAATCGGGGGGACTCTTGCAAATCAAGTTGGAATGGGCAGATTTTTTAAACGCACTTCCTTTAGCATGGCATTGACCTACCTTCTCTTAATCTGACGAAACTGACTTTATTTAGTCAGCCTTTTTTAAAATTCTTAGTCCCCCCTTCTAGATCATCCCCTTCAGATCGGATATATGGTGGGTATATTCAACATGACACTAGGTGTTCCCCATATGTTAATCTGACGCGCTCGAGTAACTACTGAAATCCTTTCATAGGCTCCCCTACTATTGCGTTTTTTCTCTTTCATTTCTTGATAAATATTTTCTGATACCTACAATACTTTTTGATCGGTAACGTATATCGTATAAAGTAGCGTTCCATAGTTTCTGCCTACCCCTATGGGAGACAGGCGTGAGATTATGTATGTATGTGAAAGTCGTATAAAGTGCAATTTAGTGAGTTGTCTTAAAATGAGAGCTTCTTGTTGTAAAAGGAATAATGCTTTAAGTAATAGAGGATACGATAGAATGCAAAAGAAAGCTCTAGTGACTGTTTATTTGCTCCCAAGTGTAGCTTTATGATAACATCAGCTTGAGACAGACAACTATCTCATTCAAATTAAATGTTTGCAAGAATATTTTTGCCCAGACTTCTTATTTTATGGAATAGCTTCTTGGCTTTAAAACATGCTTCAATAGTATCGTATTTTTTTTTTTTTTTTTTTTTTTTTTAAGGGGGGAAAATCATCGAATGACTGCCCCCGCCTGGGTGAGGCGGGAGGGAGTGTCAGACTCTTACTGACTAAAAACCACCCCGTTCCTTCTCCTGCACGTCGAGCCGGAGCCCCGGTTACCCGTTAGGTTCTCCGCGACTCCGAATCGGCATCGGCCCTATTGGGCCCCATCTGTGGTGGTCTGATGGCTCTTTGAGGCGCGCGCGGAACGCGACGCGCCGTACGCTCGGGTCTGTTTCTGGTCGGACGGGGAGCCACCCATGCTCGCCGTCCGCAGGCCCGCGCTTACGGTGGCCGGAGATCGTCCCGCGATCCCCGACGCCCGGTGTGTCCTTCGCGATGGCTGGGTTGCGAGGAGGCAGCGCTTCGCTGCCTCACGCGTCCCGCCTCCTCCTTAGCTAGCATGACTGCTTCGCAAAAGGAGGAGACGGCATCCCAATCCCCCTCGCTCCGCATCATGGCCTGCACTAGGCCCGGACGCGAGAGGTCGCCATCGCCGATCACTTCCCTGAGGACACGGCGGTGCTCAGCCCACGAAGGGCATTCTCCCACCGTGTGTTCCACCGTGTCCTCAGGGCGGTCCTCGCAGTGATGACACCCGGGCGTTTCCTCCCGCCCCATCAGACACAGGTACCTCCCGAAACTTCCATGTCCGGTGAGGACCTGCGTCAGGCGGTAGGTGAGGACGCCGTAGCGTCTCTCAAGCCACTCCTCAAAGAGGGGACTTACCGCTGCGATGGCAGCGAGCCCAGCCCTCGGTTGCGACAGTCGTTGCTGCCATTCCGCCATGAGATCGCGCCGGAGCTCATCCCGCCACGCACTTATCTGGCGCGGCAGCGGAGTTTCGCCCCGGCGACGTGCCTCCGCGCGCATGCTGTGCACGCGCGCGAGCACCTTCGCCTCCAGATCCCACGGCGGTAATCCGGCAAGGAGGTTCGCCGACTCCCCAGAGATCGTGCGGTATCCGCGGATCAT